AAAATTTGACTCGTTCGCAAAATAGAGCTATATACCATCAGCTCGGTGTATTTCGCGATTTGTAACACTGTTTAGAAAAAATGATCAGTTTCGAAAGTATTTACCAAATCGGGGTCTACGGAGTTGAACCACAATCTAGGATCCCACGACATGTTCCATTTTAGAGAGATGGTCTTATTGTTAGATTCGGATTCCGAGTCGTCTTCGTACACCATTCTCCTTCGCGACAGACGGATTTGTGTATTACGATTTCAACGAGTAACTAGAGTCGTATGTCATCCGATTTATATTTACATACGATCGCTCGGCGGGCTTTGTCGTATTCGGCACGCGAGGTTCGCATGAACCAGCGGTTCTCAAATTATGCTCCAAGTGTGAACGCGACAAACGGTTGCGTACAATTATGTCACAATAATAAAAATAAGACGATTTGCCTCGTTCAAAAAGTGTCTTTGCATTCATTTTACGATAAAAAAAATTCGACATTCGAATGCAAAATTTTTGATAATATCAATAAACGTGAAAAGTATTATCTTATTTATTTTTTATTATGTATCTTTTATCTAAAAAATACTTATTGCTCCATAATACTACACAATAATATGTTCTATATTCAATTAACGCTTATTGCAATAAGCCTTTCAGTTAACGATTCTTTTAGTTAAATTTTGCACTGAGAAAACTTTCTGATTAAAAAATGAACCAGAAGGTTCTCATTATATCAATAAGAATTCTAATTATTTCAACTAGATTATAATAGAATTATAAAAATTCAACCAGAAAATTTTAATTTGCCCATTTTCAATCTAAATTCCAATTAATGCAACTAAACTCTTTTTTTAATGTATTTTTTTGCGTTTATGCGTTTTTCTATTTAATTTTAACTTTTTATTAGTAATTTATATTACTAAATATTCGAAACTATTAATTCTATGCCTATCTGCACTCGCTAATTTTACTAATTAATGAAAACTTTCAGTTTTCCATAATTCGTGCATAAGACTTGTACTCGATATTTCACAATCGGTACAAATCAATCAATCGACGTGCAGTTTGAGGAAATGCTCATTTGTACAAGTACATATCTGCTAACAATCATTCTCATCGATTTAACGGTCATCGATTGGAGCGTAAATACCAATTGCATTATGCAATTTTCTTGGAACTTATCTACATTATATTTATGCAATCAATATATCATACGACGTTTCTACATGGATGAAGCACGAGCATAAATATAAGTATTAATTTTATGCAAGTAGATCAATTATATACAACTGTTGAGTCCAATCATATTTTTTACAATAGTATGTGTTATTCAGTAATTATTTTTATTGTCAACTATACGATGAATATTAATAACGAATAATCATACAGAGCTAATAATCATAAACTCATATCAATTAATTATTATGTCAAATTACCACAATATTTTAATTCATAATAAATATTCATAATAATTATTATCGAACTTTATCTTCTTTTCGCAACTTCTCAAATTTTTCGTTTAAACTACAAATTTAGAAAAAATTTGTAATAACGTTACAAAAATTGATGCCAATAATTAAGATGTGCAAATTAGATTGTGTGAATATAAATAAATCTCTTAAATTAATATTTTTGAAAGTAAATTCGAAAAAAGGAATTTTTTGTCGCAAAATTAAAACTCTTACATTCATTTATGATTATAATTACTGCCGTTAAGATGTTTTCTTTTTATCTGCAAGTAATTGAATTAACTTGCACATTGGTTGAATAAATAAAATAGCAGGATGACTTACCAACTAAATGAAAGATCGTTCTCTCAAAAGATTCGATGTCGTCATGAATAATAAATAAACCTCTTTCATGTGCCTGAAAAAGCAAAGAGATTTAAATAATTGTTCAGAAAGTTACATGGAGTATCTAAAGATTAAACAATAGTCATCCTACATTTGCCAACAATTTACAATATTACACTAACAAGATACTGAATTTTAATAAATAATTGTTTAAATAACACTAATATAATCATACAGCACAAAAACTTGCAGAAACATTACTACAATGTTTGCAATGTTGCTGCAATATTACTGGAATTATCTGTGCTGTACAGGTAACATTTATTAACAGAAAATAAATATTTACTAAATAAAAAATATAATAGTTAAATCAAATTAATGATTTTTGTACCAAATATAAATATATGTTTACATTTAGTAAATATTCAATAGGCACTAATCAAATATTTATTATTTAGTACATTCTTCTCTCAGTGTAGATACAGGGACACAAATATAATTTACAGATTTCATTGTATTCTCAGAATGAATACTCAGAATAATATCTCTCTCTTTGTACTCCTCTTCTCCTCTGTCCCCTTCGCCATTTTTACTATTTCAAAAAAAATTTGCGCCGAGTGAGAAAATAATTAGCTATTTACTTAAATCCAATCTTTATTAAGTATAATTAAATAACACTCAATGACATGACTCATGAATAGCGTAACATTTTGATTTCATACGCTTATTTCTAGAAAATGACACTTGTCATCGGGGAGACAGACGATTTCCTGTCTCCGCAACGACGCAGTCATTTCCAACTCTCTCTCGTTTTCTTATCTGAATATACAAAATGTTCGCAAAGGACAAAGATGCATCCGCGTAGGATGACGTAGGTACGCGAGTATATCTTGATTCATCGCGGTCCCCAGAGGAGATGAGACACAAAGGAGCAACGTCGTAGGAACGGAACTGTCGAGATCCTAACCTCACCTGGACAGAGGGATTCCCCCGAGGAGTCCACCGCTCTCTAAAGCCGGTGTCGACCCGTGTCGCGCGTTACATAAGTGAGCCCCGATTTCCGCCAGCGATTACATGTTTCACTGACACGTTGCAAGGCCGCGCGGCGGCGACGGAGGAAGACGATGACGACGCATTCGCAATATAACAAAAGAGAGAATCTCACACCGTGCGCAAAGACATGTCTATTGTCTTTCTTTCACGCCGCGTTATGTATTGGTTCCGCCGTCGTCCGCCAGGCGGCACAGGTGGCGCGCTCGATCAGCTGATCGTCCGCGCACGTGCGCCGCACTTTCTCTGCACTGCTTTGCACTTTAAATATATACACATGTATGTATATAACAAATGTATATACAAATACTACAAATTTAGAAAATACACAAATAGATCCATATTAGGGCTTCGTTATCAGCAACTCGTGGCAGGTAAGAATAACAGATTCATTACATTGTTGAGCGCTTTTAATTAAACCGTACTTTCTTTACATTTCTGCGTCCTTTCTTGCATTCTCGTTTTGTTTTAAACGTTCAAAAAAATCTGTCTTTTTTAATTATACTCTGTTTTTCTTTATTTTCGAAGTGCTAGAATATAATTTCTTTGGAGCGCTGGAACAAGATGCATTGATTAAAAGAGATATGTGTTATTGGCTGGATATAACCTTTTAAAATATATTCATGTTTTGATATGTTGCATTGGTAAAGGAAGAATAACACGTTTGACAGACTTCAGTGTTCTTTTGATTTAAAAATATTCAGCAGTACTGTAATCATGACGACGACGCTGGCATTACCGCAAAAGAAATATTATAGACAACGCGCGCATTCGAATCCGATAGCTGATCACTGCATCGAATAGTGAGTAGTTTTCCGTGCGTTTTTCGTCGAGATTACAACAATCACCGTTACCATTTGTCATTTACTTATTGCAGTCCGATAAAACCGGAGTTAATGGATTGGAGCACCTTGTATCCACAGTACTTTCAGAATAATGGTGAGCAGACGCTAGAAACACAGAAACGTGTAGAATTTGTAGACGTTGGTTGCGGCTATGGAGGATTGCTGGGTAATTTGTTCCTTCTTTTCTCTTTAATATATTTTATTTAATTTAAAATATTGCCTATACAAACAAGATTTATATAAATGTTACATGGAAATAAAAAAATGTATACATAAATTATGAAGCGGCAGAATGGCTACTGTTTTAATTTCTATCGGATAATTTATGTAAAAACAAAACCAGAAAATTAAAATAATTGATGAATTAATCCTCAGTTACTTTGTCTCCGATGTTCCCGGATAATCTGATACTCGGCATGGAAATCAGAGTGAAAGTATTAGACTATGTTATGGATCGCATCGCTGCCTTACGATCACAAAATCCTGGCCAATACCAGAACATTGCCTGTCTAAGAACAAATGCCATGAAGTATCTGCCAAATTATTTCTACAAAGGACAGGTAAATGGAAAGTCTCAATTGTTAATATACATAAACGGATAGGGATCTGTACATTAATCCATATCTTTTATTTATGTAGCTGAAGAAGATGTTTTTCCTATATCCAGACCCACACTTCAAGAAGTCGAAGCATAAATGGAGGATAATAAATAAGTCTCTGTTGGCAGAATACGCTTATGTTTTAGCCGAAGGAGTAAGTATCATTTATACTTATCGAATTTATTATAGGCTAGTATTCATAATCCATTCTTATTTTAAGGTCATCTTAAGTAATGTCTTAAGATGATAATATGTGTTTTGAGATTGGTCTTATATATGTATATATATGTCTAAGATCAGTCTTAAATATAAGAACAGGCTATGAATATCGGCTATAACATATTTGTTATATATTACTTCTACAAGAATTAATTTTTTAAATTATTATTACATAGGCTATTGTATATACTGTAACAGACGTAGAAGATCTACATAAATGGATAGTTGAACATTTCCAAGAACATTCACTGTTTGAACAAATTACCAAGCAGGATTTGGTAAGTACAACTGTTTTTATTTCTTTTTTTCTTTATGTAATGGTAACACCGATAAATTTTGCCAAAACAGGCAGCGGATCCTGTAGTGGAAAAGTTATATGAAAGCACTGAGGAAGGTAAGAGAGTCACCAGACGCGAAGGAGACAAATTTCTGGCAGTGTTCAGAAGGATCGCGGATCCTTATATTGCAACGATTAGCTAGCAGCAACAATTATATATAATTTTTCGGCGATTGTATTGTATATAATTATATGGCGAAGGATATTTTGGATGAGGGGACTAATTCTGATATCATAGAAGGGGATTTGTCTCGTAGCAACGATGTTTCTAAAACGAATTGCAAGAAATAAGAAGATTAATGATTATTTTTTGAAGATAAAATATATTTCATAATACATATACATACCTCGTCTAATTATCTTTTTCCTGCTCACGCTAGGTACCTTGTTTAAGTAGTCTATGTGTCTAATATCTGTGTGTTGAATTAAATGTGCAGTCTTTAAAGCGAATTCTTCGTGCATTATGACGAATAACATCTGCAAAATAAAGGCAATTAATGTTTTTTTGATAAATATCGAATCGAGCATAAAATCCTACCTCTTCGAGTATACGATTAATTAACGCTCGCGGCGGTGAAATGTACGATCTCTGTATCAATCTCTTTCTTTCATACAAATTCATTCTAAATTGCGAGTAAAATAAATTCGATTCTTCCCGTAAAATGTCTTGCATTATGTTTCTGAACAGTTTACTGTTGACTATTTCCCTAAAATGTGACGAAATGTATCAACCATTAATACACATTCATTTTATAAATAAATTAATTTACTCTGTTCTTGCTTATTATTATAATATTTGGAAAGTAGGTTGATTTACCACAGTAGACCCTCTATAATAAACGAAGATCGACTAATATCTTCTTTCCCGAATGTCATCGTTCTCTCATTTTCCTCGATGCATATTCCTTTTGGCGGTGCACTTGTTAATTCTTTCATTAGACTAACTTTCAGAAATTTGTCTTCTACGCTATAGATAGAACATCGAATTGTTATGGCTTTATAAAATGGCTGAGGTTTTTTCAAGATTTTCACCGGTAATTCCTAGAGACAAAAGAGTACATAAATTTAAAGAACTTTTATTTTAAAATGGACTTTCTTTTCTATGAGTTTTATATTAGATTTAAAGTCTTAACATTTTGCGAGAAAAATTTATATATTTTATTTACTGGAACGCTGATGCCTTTTTCCGTAATAGTAAACTGTCCTTTCAGTTCCTGAGACAAGCCTTCGTGAATGTATACACTTCGTTGATAGATCCGCCTTTGGCTAGCATTAATAAATTCGCATGGTATATCAATATCAATTATGCAAGGGTATCCTTTAGTATATATAGTTACACGGAAGCTTTTGACGGACATTGGCTTTATCAAGCCTTTTGGCGGATAAATTTCCACGTGAATTATTTCAGATGTCTCACGTCTGATAGTAATGCAGAAATAGTAATTCAATTTTGAAAACAAACTTTTTCAATAATTTATTCCACAATCCGTATAGCTTAATTCAAGCAAACCTTTTCCATTCATAGGCGAGTACGTCTTGCACCAAATTATTATGTATCATAATCATCTTAACCACATGGCTGTGCGTAGCTATGTGAGAAATATTTATACAGTCAGTACTAAAGTATATGGGAATATTCTCATCATCTTCGAAACTGTGTTCGCATGGAATATATTCTCTAATTGTTGCTGGTTTATGTGGCAAGGAGGATTCACCTTCGAGTGTCAGTTCTTCTTCTCTGTCACCCAAAGTCAAACGCAACTTTCCCTAATAAAAGAGAGATATATCAATTTTTATTTGGAGAAAAAATTTATTCATTAATTTTATCTATTAATCCTAGCTATAATACACACTTTTTTTTTCTACTCTTGATATACACACTCGGTCCCTGGGACCTCACCTATATTTGTTACCGTAACTTTCGTAAAAATGGACATATTTCAATTAATTTTTTTTAATCAATGGAGAATTGATTAAAGAACAAGTTCATAATGTGTAAAAGTCGATAGAATTAAGGAGCTTCGAGATATATAGATTCAAAGAAAAAGAAAAGTTAAAAAACGCGAAAAAATTTTTATTCATCAAATTGTACTGGGGTTTCTGGGATCCCAGTGTGTATAGCTAGCGTTAAATTTGTTATATATATATATATATATATACTTTAAATATGCCGAATTTCCTTGGCTGAAATTTTAAAAGGATCGGGACGAAAGTTTGCGGATTCGCGATTGCATGTGGAGTGACACAGGAAAAAACTTTATAGCAGTATTCCTGATTTATTTCGTACATCGTTCTTAGATTTATAGAAAACGGGATGCTGTGATTTGTACTATTATGTACCCAACACACCTGAAAAATTTTCACGTTATGGATGTATTGTATATTTAAATACAACTAAAAACAACCTGGTAGATAGGATCTTTTTCTCCAAAATAAACATGTTGGAATTTGAAATGCGTGCCGTTTAAAAGCTGGAGCTTTTTATCAGAATCAGATAAACATTCAATTATCATAATAAAAAAAATGTGACGATTATCTCCGAGGTCTAAGTCCCACTTTGTCTCGGTCTGGCCTAACAATAAATAACGCAGCTCTAGTGTTATCCAGATCTCTTCTCTTGGCTGTATTTTATTAAAATGATAAATTAATAATAGTGATAACAAAATAATAATAAAGAAGTTACTGTAACATTATAAAATTATAGCTTATTTATACTTTAATATTTCCCGTTTTTGGCTGTATAGAACACATTTTCCTATGCAAGCAATCGTATTTTGCACGTTGAAATTTGAGACAACCTTGAGTGTTTACAACTGGCCGACAAGAACAGAGCTGCACTTTTTTTATATTCCACGAAGCATTCACTGCAGTTATGTTTATTAGAAGTAATTTTACAATAACCTTCGGACTATGTAAAACCATTGCTGGGAAATTTATGTAAAACGTTTGCGATGTTCCTGGTTGTAAATCTCTGAATAATATATTGAGCCTAAAAATGCATATACCTGATTTATATATAATTTTACTTTTTTACTAGCAACTAGCGTGCTAGTCTTCTAGCAAATTGGAATTCTATAAATTATATTTTTTAATTGTTTTAGTTTTCTAAAAAAAATATATAAATTTATAGAATTATATTTTTTTAGCTGTTAGTTCGTGCTAGAAGACTAACACGCTAGTTGCTGCTAGTAAAAGAGCATTGTATGAATTAGACCATACACACATGATTAAAATATTAAATTATGTTTATATCAAGAAATAACAAGAAATTCTATGTAGATACGTGTTTATTTTCATCAGCTTCCAAAGAAAAGCTTTGCTCACGTCTGGGTAAGATCCATAATATTGCAAATCGGTTACCTATTGTTTATTAAAAAGGATTGAGCATTTATATATTTGTTACTATTATATGTTTTGTCAAATTATTATTTTAAAAAGTGCGTTTGCTATATGCACACACAGCATTTTACCTTCAAAGTAGGCAATACACATAAACAACGCACTTTACAGATATTCCTCGGAATCTGATTCGGAATTAGATCTGTGTTTACATCAGAACTTATCCTCACAAAATACTGAATGAAAAATTCGTAAAATCCCGGAGTAGTAGGTGTAATAAGAACAGTAATAATTTTATCTTCTCCGACAACAACGGTGTCCGCAGTCGGATGTATTTTTACATCACGTTTTATATTCCCAATTGGCCAATTGCAATGACTACATGTCATTTTGTAATAGATGTTTACAGGACTCAAGTTAAATACGTGAAAACTTAATTCTTTCGTATCTTTGTATGCCTGAATTCCAAAATTTAATTCATCCGGCGCTGACTGGAAAACACAATAATATACATTATTAAAATTTTTTATTATAAAATTTTTATTATATTTCGTTATTATTTTTAAAAATTCCCCGGCGGAAAAAAAATGTTTATAAAAAGGTATAGAAAAACTATATAGATTGTGACAAGATTTTAGAAATTCTTAATTTTTCCTAGATATTTGTAGGAGGTAGAATAAGTCTTAGAAATTCTTAGTTTTTTTCGTAGATATTCGTAATGGGACATATAGCGAATTCGGTCACTACACTAAATCAGTGCAAACTCAAAGTTGCTTTACATGAAATTAACAAAGTTAAATGTAAAAATATTTTAAACGCTTAATTATTTAATGATATTGTCACATTATTTAACAAAATATATATGTATCATTTCATTGTCAAAGTTGATTACATTGTATCACTGCATTGAGATATTTTATATAAAGCAGCTTTTAATATGTACTGATCCAGTGTAGTGCGAATGATTGAATTCACCAACAGAGTGTCGTTGTTTGAGGGCGAAGGATTTTTTGGTTTTTCAAATAAATAACGCCACTTTACATTCCATTACGAATATCTATGAAAAACTAAGAATTTCTAAGATTTTGCCTCAATTTATATAGTTTTTCGTAAAATTTTTCCACCAGGGTTATTTATATTTTATTTTTTATCTTATTATTGTTTTATTATTTATTAATTAATTTACCATAAGAACACCAGATTCACATTTTCCTGTTACATGTAATGTTATGCAGACGCTAGGGCCAACGGGAGTTCCATCTTTTAATACGATCAATATGCAGTTTATGTCAAACTCGTAATCTCCAAGTGTTGTAGGACAAAATAACCATTCGTGGGTAATTATATCGTTCGAGTAAATTTTGCCATTTCCATATCGTATTTGAAGTTCAGGTTTCACATTAATGAATTCATAACTAAAGAATCAGTGTTAATCAAAAACAATCACAACAATAAACTAACAGTCTACTCTTTTAGAAACATTTTAATTAATTTTTATAATAGAAATATAATTTTTTTTTTATTAGAGATATAATTAAAAATACAGTTTTTATATCTTTGAAATTTAATTAATTCACGGCAAAACCACATTAAAGGAATTTTGACAATGCATATTGTTTTCATTGGTGCTTTATACAATGTTTCATATTTATATAATTAATTTTTATTACTAAATATTAATATGTATTCTACGGAATTAATATTAATATCACAGGAATTTACTTTATTACATGTCGAGTGATGTTTCGCATATAAAATTGCTGCAGGCTTTGACAGCCTGGAAACGTCGGCGCGAAACTCACGGTATTCCGATCACTAAAACTGACACTCGCATATTCCGTGTATCCCTGAAAATCTATGAAACATTCCGATTTCATATTTCCATTGAAACGTATCGCCCAACGTTCCATATAAACGCGTTTATCGTCGTTTCCGGGTAACATGCCAACTACAATGATATGATAATCTCTGAAAAGAATTACAATGCATGATGGATAGAAATTGAAAATGATATTGAATGCGCAGAATATCAATATAAATCGTTTCAAATGCTTTTTAAAAAAATAAAATAAATACAAACGTTATGTAAAACGATGAATGTAAAGATAATATGACATCATGATAAATTACACTATAGTTTACAGTAAAAAATTATTTTAAACTAGACATAGTGTTTTTTTTTATAGATTCCCTGGCGGAAAAGTTTTACGAAAAACTACATAGATTGAGATAAGATCTTAGAAATTTTTTTTTCATAGATATTCGTAGTGGGACGTAGGACGACGTTGTTTCTTTGAAAAACCTACAAATTCTCCGCCCTCAAACAACGCCACTCTACATCTTACTATGAATATATATATATCTACGAAAAATTAAGAATTTCTAAGATTTTGTCTCAATCTATGTAATTTTTCTGTATTTTTTCGTAAAAATTTTTTTTCGCCAGAGTTTTTGGATGCTTATCTGATGTAAAATAATATTTAAAAAATATTTTTTGTAAACTAGTGTTATTTATATGATACGTGCGGCACATTTTTGCGACGAGACTTCACGCCAGATTCGAACAATTAGGGTCATATAAAATAATCTTAAATACAAGTACTGATGAATTATGCCCATCATCGGCTTCACGATAAAGTGGCTCGATGCTGGCGGTACAAAGCGATACATTAGCAGTAAATGCCCGTATCTTCGTATTAGAAACGTGGCGTATGTCGGCGATGAGGGTACACAAGGAGGCATCTTAACTACGTGAGGTACCTCGTACTGAGGAATCCAACCATCGGAGCAAACGGGAAAGGAATGACCTATGTAAAAAAGGAATTAAGTAAGAGCGGCGTTATGCAAACGTAAAAAAAGAGACAGATAAAGAAAGAGAATACGCACCTATTAGCCGCACGGATGTGATTGCAGGGAATGTCAGAGTTTCTTCTTCAAAGCGGTCTTCTTGCCGCTTGACAAAAACATCTCCAACGAGGTCTCTCGCAAAGAAACTGCTTGTTCGGTTGGGATTAAACGCGACTTCAAACAGAGCCGTCTGGCTCGCCGGTATTCTCGTGATGGTGGGTGTTATATTGAAAATTCCTTCAACATCTATACAAAATTATCTAATTAATTAATTGTTGATAGAAAAATAGGTCTATGTGCTTATATTAGCAATATTTAATTTTAATTTCTATGTCATTAAAACAAATTTACAAGTAAAAATATAAAAAGTTGAAAAGGTCCCTGGCGGAAAAGTTTTACGAAAAACTACATAGATTGAGACAAGATTTTAGAAATTATTAGTTTTTCATAGATATATATTCGTACACTGAGAAAAAAATACTGTTGATTCAATTAAAATCTATATTACAGGCTGTTACTAACATAAGTAATTAATTCATATATATTTTTATTGACATAAAGGCCTTGATTATTGAAATAATAATTTATGTTTTTATGTCAATAAAAATATACATAAATTAATCACTTATGCTGGTAACAGCCCGTAATATAGACTTTAATTGAATCAACAGCATTTTTTCTCAGTGTAGTGGGACATAGAGCGACTTGTTTCTTTGAAAACGTGCCACTCTACGTCTCACTATGAAATATCTACAAAAAACTAAGAATCTCTAAGGCAAACAAACCTCACTCTACGTCCCACTACGAATATCTACGAAAAATTAAGAATTTCTAAGATTTTGTCTCAATCTATGCAGTTTTTCTGTACTTTTTCGTAAAAATTTTTATTCCGCCAGGGGTAAGATAAGAAGGTAAAGAGATAAGTAGAAAGTAAAATAAAACGCTAATAATAGCGTATATTGATTCGATAAACAACAACCTTGGTCCCATTTAATTAATACATCGGACTGGCTATGATTAGTAAGACACAGGGTTTCCGGAATTTTTCGCTCAGCATTTTCCGCCTCTACGTCGGCCTGACCGAAGTCGATACAATTTTTCGATGAAGAAACCGCAGGAAGATTTTGCGTGGCGACAACAGTATCACTTGTGTATCCTTCGAAGCCATTTTTCAACCTCGTAGGATAATTAAAACGGATCTGCGTGCTCTCTCTCTCTCTCGTTTTACGCAACGCTGTGCAATAGCCGTATAATTCTATGATAATCGGTTTCTGTAAAATGAATCATCGTGAACATCACATAAACATATGAAACATTTTCTTTGATACGCGGAGTCTGAAACTCAAAGGTAAATTTTTTCCGACTGAATGATGAATATCTAGTAGATCGAAAAGATATCAAATAAATATAATTAGGTAACGCACGAAATGTAGAAAGCAAATCATATATCATTTACTTATTTTTAATAAAATAGTATAGAACTGGTATAGAATTAATTACTAAAGTCTGGAAAATTGGATAATTATAAATAGTATGACATTTCGTGTGTAACGAAGATTGTGTTCTTTAGTGGTCATTAAAAATTCAAATTTTCTTATTACGTGATTCAGGATTAAGCACGGAAAATAGCACGCGTAGATCCCGCTTTCTCGTGGTGCAAAAGTAATTGTTACGAATTTGTGAGAACAGGGCTCGATGTGTCCGTGCCGCGGATTTGCTTCAAACGGCCTCCGAAGCGAGTCGATGTCAAACATGAAAGTCGCCGTGGCTTTTGAATCATTGACGAGCCTAATCCGCTTCTTCACCTCGCGATTCTCGTTCGTACACATCATGATTAATCTTGTGGCAGACGAGGAGACCATGGGTCCTGCGTGCGTAAATGATTAAAATTAACGTCATACGATGATGGAAACGCTCATCGTAAACATTGTCGATTTCAGAACATGTATGTATGGATAATTAATGACTCATAACTTAAATTAAATAGGACTTATCCGTGTCTGAATTTATTTAAAATAACCTTGGATGACATCTTTTCAACGAAAAAATAAGGTTGTAAAATTATCTCTTTTTAAATGCTTCTAGTGATATTTGTTGCGCTTTGACAATTGAACACCTCGATTAAAATTGTTGTCTTTCGTAGTTAGGTAAAGCTTGTGTTAAACTTTGAAAACTCTCGATGATGTATGCTCTTGAAGTACAAATGATTGATGGAGCCTCTCAGAAGCCAAGCTAATCAACTCCATGAAATAAAAAGCAAAAAAAAATTGATAAAATTGATAAGGTATAACACCGAGTGCTCCGGTATTAAATTAAGAAATTTTCAAAATAGCAGAATGGATCAATTTCTGAGAGACTTCTGATAGGATCCATTAATCATTTTTACTCCAAAAGAATTTATCATCAAAAACTTTCGGAGATCGGAAAACTTTAACTACAAAAGATTCTTTTAATTCTTCGGTGCCACTTTAGGTATGGTATATCCGGCTTTTCCCATACAGCACCGAAAGTTTTCAGAAATATCTCAGAAATATTTCAACAGAAAATTGAAACATTTCATAAAAATTGCGAAATATATCTGCAACATTTCTGAGACAACTCTGGAATAGCAAAATGTCCGCGATTCTTGCACATGAAACCTTGTTGAAAGATTGATGAAATGGTACAGAAAGAATCTGCAATCTTTTTGAAATATTACCAAAAAGTTTTCAGCTATTTATAGTATTTCAAAAATCATATTTAAATATTATTTGAATATCAATTAAACATATATTTAAATATCATTTCTGAAGTACTTAAAATTTAAGAGTTTTGTAATCTGTAAACAGATTACAAACTTGTTGAAATAAACTTAAAGTATTTCTCAAAAATGGTAATTATATCGCCAACTATTTTGATTAATTAATCACATTATATATATAAGCACATATATATAACCCCTATTAGAAAGATAGAGAAAGTCACTTACACCTGCAGTTTCCACACACACAATATCATTAATCATATACAAAAGTTTTTTGTAATTAAAGCAGAACAAGTCATTCATATACAAAAGTTTTTCGCAATTAAAGTAGAACAACTCACGATAACATCAAAATGATATTAAACTAAATCGCGATTGATCAAAAAATGACTTTTAGCAAACATTTTGGAGCCATTTTAACATCATAATGACTTTTTTGTTCTGTTTAAATCTGTCTTCCATTTATTGTATATGATTTATTGTATATGATAGATTTTAGAAACAATTCTGTTAAAATATTTCATATGACATATTGTAGAATCCTTTCAAAATTGTTGCACATGAGATGTGAAAGGTTGAAACATTTCTGAAAATTTTCCGCAACAATCGGTGCTGTATGGGTCCTTTTCTAATATTTTTCTTGTAATTTTTTTTATTAATAGAGATAATACATAATGCTTGATATTGTTATATTCCTTAATATCTGGCGTGTCGATAAAAAAATTGTTACAATATAGTTCATTTTTATGAAAATTACTTATAAATAATTGAATTGGGTTGGATATGATATCTCCAAGTGTGTTGTTCCCGTAGTGTGGAAACAAAGGGTAAAGATAATTAAGACTTAAGAGCGACCATATCAATGAGTACATAAAGTACGATAGAGAAAGTCTTGATCGGTCAAAGTACATTAAATATTTTTTTTAAATCAAATTTATTTCAGATATGATTGCGCGCCTATAACTTTCAGACTTTCAACACAATCAGACTGAAACGCTAATGATCGCCTAAATATTAGATTAGAAAGAAAGAAATTAAGAAAGAAAGGGTGAAGGGTTTCTTTCTGACGATCATTAATTGGAAAGAATTCCGTACCAAAAATGCACCTTCCGCGGACTTGGATTTCCGCGCGTTTGCCAGCTGAATCCACAATCGTAAAGTAATCTACGTTTACGGTGAATGGCATGAATGGCCGATAGTATATTTTGCATTTGTATGTCTGGCCAGGAAGTAAAGACCAAGAGTAGCTACACAATTCAAATACGTGATCCAGCGGATTGGTAGACGCATCTCTTCGAGCCTCGTAAATTTGCTCGATCTGTAATACATCATTAATCAGTCAATACGACTGATTTACGCAGAGCTGAACGTTTCACAAGCAAATGACAAATAAAGTATCAATTTAAAACAATTTTTTTTGTTATTTCGTCATTATTTCCTTCTAATCAATCAAAAGGATTATTATATTCGTCCTCATCTCTTTCCGAATATTTAAACACATCTAAAACTTATTTTATATATAACTCGAAATATACGGGAAATAATTTAGTTTATAATTTTGTGAATTAAAAATTGTGATATTATAAGTGATTTTTAGATTCTCTTTTTACATTCTCTTAATTAAGTTAATTGATGTTGCAACGTCTTTTTTGCAATTAGACATTAGACATATTAAAAAAATCATTTTATACAGTTTAAATTGTGTAGAAAATCAGTTCCCTTTTTAAATTAAAAAATTAATATTTTCATCATTTTTAAGTGTGTTTCTTAATTTAATCAAAACTTGGTTAAAATCGCTCTCGTGTCGTTTCTGTCAGTGTAGAACTTGGAATCTCTCGGTTTAATTTACTCTTTTCTTTTTCTAATTCTCAAAACTAGAGAGAAAGATAAAAATAAAGACAAGTTAAACCGATTAAGTTAATCTACATAATTGAAACGAATATATTATATTAAAGACAAGAAGTCTGACACTAACGCAACTTTCGTTAACTATCTCCAGCCACTTGACAGTTGTGGCGCCCGTTTCTACCTCGCCGAAGTCCACGTGGATTTTTCTCGCTTCGCAGAGCATTTTTTTCGTTTCTATCTGATTATCAAGCGATCTTCCTCTCTCTTTCTCTCGCTCGCCGAGAAACGGGATACAGCCAAGATCTCTCGTCGAGGTCTCGATCGATGTTTTGTCTTCTCGAAGGTGCTCGAATGCAGGCAGCGGCGTCGGTCGACTTTCGTCGGGACTTGTTTGGTCACCCCCGTGGGGGGACAGATGGGTGACGCTGACGTATGAGACGCATCTGGACGATCTGGACGCATCTCGCCACTCGTGCGACGACATCGCGCAATCCGCTCCGGGCTTGGATCCACGAAAAAATAATTTCGGCGCTCCTCGCCACGGTATTTCGCACGGTGTTTCTCGTCGTCGATCCCCTGTATGGCTCTGTGACACCCAGCTCTGCGCGGTCGCGACCCGAAGATGCCCCGGGACGCAGGCATCGTCTACCTGCTGATCGTGATCGCGCACCTGTGCTCGTGCGCGCGTTACAACAGTCATGATTACAATCATTACGTCGAATGTAAGTCGCGATCGGAGTAATCATCCAATAGAAGGTTCCCTTTTCTTTGTCGTTTAACCTCACTTCTGTACGTTCTCGTAGATAACCTCGAGAGCGAAAAGATATGCCATGTCCTGAACAAGAAGCACACGCTCGACATGCAACACGGCGCCGCGGCGATTGTTATGCCGCACCACATGTTCGACCACTGGGTCGTCAAGGCCAATCGCAATTGTACGTTCGTCTTCCGGACTGGCAAGAACGAGGGCCTCTTCGCGGTTATTCAGAAGATGTTTCTCCGTCGCGACGGCGATCAGTGTGTTGATTACATACGGGTAAGTGGATGCACAAGGCCTATTCTTTTTCTTTACTCCTGAACCGAACTTCTCTCGCATGATTTAACTTTTTCCTTTTTCTTTTCACATTGGGGAGAAAGAGATAAAAGATGAATCGTGCATGTTCAGTCTTGGAGTATGGAAATAATAGGCTTAAATAAAATTATAATTAGCACTCGTATCAGATTCTTGACAGACATTTCATTAGTTCAAGAGGAGCGATGGTTTTTATACAAACAAGTTCTGTGGAGAGTTAGACCGCAGCCAGACAACATACCTCCCGGTTCCTGAGCCTGAGGACAGTTTGGGTAACATAAATGATAGCCGATCACCTAATTACGACATATATGCGGAATATGATCCTGTTAAAAAATCGAAACTGTGGTCTATTCGGTCAGACTTGGCTTCGATAGAAACCGAAATATTCATTTCCAAGGAAAGAGTACCAGATGGACAGTCCCTGGACCTTACAATAGTTTACACCCCATACATGAGTATGCTTTTTTAACGTATATGTTTATATAATTTAACATATCGTTCATTTGCTACAACTCAAAAATTGTCATTTTTTTAGTTGCTTGCAGAAAAAGAATGAAAATTTGAAGAAAAAAAGAAAGAATATAATTTAAAAGAATATACTTACATATACTTTTGTGGGTTCCATCTTCTTTAAAGAAGTCATATGGTCTTGTGATAATCGTTAATATAATATTCTTGAGGCTTTCACGGGTGTTACCTATGTGACAATCTTGCGTTTCGCGGGTTTTCTCCGTGTTCAGATCCATTCTTGGAATGCCAACGTTTCGTGAACCTTGCAGTTCATTTCATCAGGGCGAGGAGCAGCCTGATACTGCCAACGTTTCGTGAACCTTGCAGTTCACGAAACGTTGGCATTCCAAGAATGGATCTGAACACGGAGAAAACCCGCGAAACGCAAGATTGTCACAATCGTTAATATATTTTTATTCCTCTACAGTCTGTTATTACACTAAAACTTAATTTTAAAATGAATATTATAAAATATTAATGATTCAAAGTAATTATTCAAACTTATTTTTTTTTAAAGCTTTGGTTTTTGAGTTGTCATTGTTGTAGCAAATGTAGCAAACGAATGATATGATTATCTTATTGATAATTTATTTGCAGAGTGCGATCAGACAAATACCGAGCACTACCAGGTGGTCGGATACGAAAACTGTATTCGGAAGGAATACATATGCGACAAGATCTACAATTGTCCTTTTGGTATATGCTCGGACGAGATGAATTGCGTGGTCAATGATCAGTATCCCAAGGAAAATAATGCCACAAGAGTCACTGTAGGAGCAGTCACCGTCACGATCCTCGGCTTCATAATCTTCCTTATGTGTCTATGGAACTGCAAGAAATCGGAAAAGTTGTGCTGGTCGTCGGATTGCGCCGGTCCGAACGTGTGCTCGCGGCCGGTTTCCTTGCCGGACGCGGACAGAAGTCAGAGATCCAATCGCGCAGTGCCAACGGCCCCCATGTTGGAGGTCGCGATGTCCTCGCCTGTCGTGGACAAAGATCTACCACCCAGTTACGACTCGTTGTTCCCTGAACAAAGTAATCCTGCCAGATCGTAAGTTATTGAATCCAAGTATGAACTGATAGTATGAGAGCGCATTAAACATACCGTCTAATGTTTTAATTAGACGCTGCGTTGTCGCGCGCATCTAGTGACATAATTAGATCGATTTTTCTTTACATACATTCATACATTATTTTTCAAAATGTGTGCTGGATTTTACTATGAAAGAAAACACTCTGATAAATTAATAGACATTTCATGTATCAGTTTTGATTCTATGTAGTCGATTTCATGGAAATGTGAATTAAATGAGTGCAGCTTCAGGATGCTAATCAAATTATAGATAAGTCAGTTATGACTAGGATGCAAAGCTACACAACACCAACTATCCTTCGTTCTTTGATAATGGACGAGGCTGGAGTCTTAATTAATCAATGAATTGTTACATACATATATTTCAATCATTTTGACCAAAGTAATTACATTTGGAGCACTGCTGCTCACCGTCCACATCCAATTGCGCCACTGCATGCAGTACATTTATACGCATTTACACTGGCCGACAGAAATGCCTTTACACATTCAAGATGGATGCGTTTCGAAACACAGTCGAATACAAGTTGTATGCGTTTCTTCTTCTTCGACCCACTGGGTTTCGACCTCTTCAAATGAGGTCCAGTATCATACTTTGAAATAGCTTTTTGAGGAGAGGACCTCACAGGGTCCCCTCAGCGCAGTCAAGGTTGTATGTATTCGACTGTATTCAGAAACACATCCATCTTGAATGTGTAAAGGCATTTCTGTCGGCCAGTGTACATGCAGTTATATTAACACCACACAATCATTGTTTCTTATTGTATATTAATGAGATTATACGAAATGCAACGGTTAGTAGATAGATCAATTAAATTTATTTTTTTTTCTGTATAGTTTCAAAGTTTCCGTTTCTTAATTGTAGCCTTATTGAATTATGACGTCACAAATGGAAAATCGTAGTTCATATTTTTGTTGCATATAAGATAAATTAGGTTCTTCATATGCCTTTATTAATATTCAAAAATGTATTGTAAGAAAAAAAAATTCATATAACAATTCTCATTTCTGACATAACTTATGATTGCAGTAGGAAAATGGAATTGTAAATTTCTACGATTTGTATTATTTTCTAATAAATATTAAAGAAATAATATCACATGAATTTTGTTCATTGGAAACTACAACGAAGAAATAGAGGCCTCAAAATAACTTCTTAGTAGTTGATGAAATATTACAAACTTTCCGTATCAAAATAACGGTACAGTATTTTTTAACTATGTTAATTAAATTTAAAGTTATACATCTCATCAATTTTACATCTGTATTAGTTTCTTGTATGAAGCTATGATCTTGTATTAAGTATATAAGATAATGTTTGATATAGTAATAATACATCTCGAAAAAGAAAGAATTTGATGGGATCTGTTGTGTTCATAGACATTCGCGAAACAAGTGGTATATGTAAGAAATAAGCGACAACACAAGAAAAATATCAGGGCGCTCCGAAATTCGAACCGAGGTCTGGTCTCCTCCGAAATGGTAGACTTCCGTCCTGCTACTGAGCCACACAACCCTGACTCTGATAGCTAGCTTCTCTGTTGTGCCTATTTCCTCTAAATTTTTTACATATGTGAACTTACTGTAGCATATTTTAGTAATGCTACGTCTTACTTGAATATATGCGACATATATACATATCTATATATACATATGTATATATATATATAAATATAAATAATTTTTATACGTATGTAAAACATACAAATTTTATAGAATTATACAAATCTTAGATGTGTGCATATATATTTGTGGAGATTAAATGTTATTTAAGTCTATAAAATGTATGTAATAAAATTGTGTAAATATTCATTTTGTGATAATAAAGATCTATGTATATACACATACATATAATCGAACGTTCTGAATTATTTTGCGTCTTCGGATTCTTTAGACGTATGCTCCAGTAACCACAGACAATCGTTGATAATGTGATCTATTTCAGCTGATCCAGTTGATAACTGATGATTATCATCGTACACGAGCATTCTGTGACATCAAATCAATTAATAATGATGCAAGATTTTTATATCTTTTGCATTTTAAACATGAATGTCAACTTACTTAGTTTTCACCTTGTTAGATTTGAGACGATTATGCCACATCGTTCCTTGAGAGGAGGGCACTCGCAAATCTTTCGTTCCAATGCAGACCAAGGTCGATGCTTTGACTTTATCGACATGCATGATGGGCGAGCACTTCTTCATTTTCATGAACATGTCAATATCATTGGGCCATGGACCGGTAACAATGTTGCAAAGAAGACCTGCCTCCACAGCGCACCTGTAATGAAAAATTAAATCACATTAGTGTGAATAAAAAAAACTTGATACGAATACAAACATGTTTGCCAGGTAAACCATGTAAACCATTGTCACAAATAATTCACATATATATAAACAAAGAGAAGACTATGTATTTCAGTCAAGCTTAGACTAGTCGCGACTATTGGTACATCTGAAATAACGATTAAGCTTACATATTATGAAGATACGCTATTATCTCTTCCTTAGTCAGAGCATTGCGACTGAAATACAAATATGGGATATTGAATAATTAGGACGTGAGGAATATCGTTGTTAAGTATTAAGTATTTCTTTACCAGTCTGGGATGTCGGATATACCGAACATGATGGAGATATCTATTACCGGATTTTTCGCAATTACTGCTTTAAATAAATCCTAAAATAAAAATAGTTTTTAAATTAATATTCCAATTAATATTGTATAAATATATTATTTGATTCACTTACAGGAACTTGACCACTCAAATGTGCTACTAAAAATCCACCATGAGATCCACCACAAAGACATATGCGTTTAGAATCGAGCCAGGGATATCTCTTGATCGCTTCCTTCGTAGCAGTTATACAGTCCTTTACATCAGCGTTTCCAATTTTTCCTTGAAGATATTCCACTGTTGCGCTGCCCATTCCCGTAGAACCACGATAATTCACTTGCACTATTGCAAAACCTGAATAATGCGGAATTAGAGAGTATAGTAAAAAACTCTTAAATATATATTACGTAAAGAGAAAGATATGATTTATCTATTGCTATACCTGCTAATGCCAAGAAAGAACATTCTAAAGAAAATACGTTTACAAAATTGCTATGAGGTCCTCCATGTGGTGTAACGACAAAAGGTACCGATTGATCTTTACCACTTTTGGGACCAAAATAGATATAGTTGAATTGCTCTGAAAAGTAGAGAAGCAACGTTCAACTACCTGTATCAAGAGAAATTGTGCAAACGATAACACGATCCACTTACTTATGCTGTCGTCATTATCATAATTGTATTCATTTTGTTCATATATAATTTCTTCGAAACCATGAATTTTCATTGGAACTGTAATCGCAATTCTGGAGATATCGCCACTACTTGCCACTTCACTCTTAAAACGGCCTACCATAAGACTAGAAGGCTGCGTTAAAGAAGTACTCAAAAACGTAATCACATCCCCTTTTACATCCAATATACAAAGACTACTTTTATCGTTTTTTATCTCAGTAACATCTTTCGTTTCTGCAAAGACAATTCATTATTCTTCTTATTAACGCATTAAATCAGTTTAATCAACAAAATTGTAGTATCTTACTTATATTCACAATATATGAGACAAGATTGTTTTTTTGAGCTGTACTGAAAAATAAGTATTGAGAATCGTCACTCCAACAACGACGAGGTAAACGACCATATATTCCATAAAATTGTTTGTTAGAATTGATTGTTTTACTCATTCGCACTGCTTCCACTATCTCGATATTCTAGATATAAAACAAAATAATTTAAAACTCAAAATACTAAACATATTTTCCTTAATATAATTTTTGGTTTATAATTAATCTAATTTTTAATACATTACATTATCTTCCTCCATTCTCAAATCTCGCAACATAAGTTTGTGCGCATTATGATGTGGAACAGCACCTGCTTCTCTCTGCAACCATACGAGATAATTTCCATCAGGACTGATTCTAGGACTATGCACAGCACATCCTTCATCGGACAATTTTCCTGTTACACGATAAAAGTTACTCAATTCTTTTCTCCTATTTCATATCTGCTATACTAATTATTTAAATGTTGCTTACGATATTCTCCGTTTTTCAATAAAAATATCCAAGAATATCTATTGGTGCATGCAGTAAGGCCTAAGTATAGTGGCTCATGCTTCCAAGCAACACCGATTACATCCTGATCTTTCGTCCAAATCACTTGACCGGGAGAAAGTTCATCTGGTATTCCAGATAAAATCGTAATAGTATCCAACGTCGTATCGAGGACAGCAACAACAGATTGATGTTTACCTACTAATTGTTCTCCCCAGTGTGGTTTGTATATATATTCGTTTCCCTGGTATCAAGAAAATTAAATAAGATATGTACATACAAATACAACTCTGTAATTATTTAAAGAAACAAGAAATAAATCCTACCACCGTTACTTCATCATCCTCTTTTTTCTCCTTATCTTTTTTATCCAATGATTTTTGCTTATAAAACGGTTCTGACTTAGGAAGCTTCTTTTCGGCTATATAGAGAACCTTGGTATTATCCAGAGACCATTCAAACGAACGAAATTCAGCTACAAAAAAGCATACAGTTAATGTACATTTGAAAAATTAAAAGTTTGAAATAGAAAATGGAAACTTATACCATCTGTGTAAACATCGCCATGGACGTCCAGAGCAGACAGATCATAATTCTTCACGAAATGTTGTTTATCCCAAATTTCTAGAAACTGCTTTGTAGAATTATCAATTGTGGCCTGTCGTAACACAGCTCTACGTTCTTCATTCTTCGTCAGAGTTGACATCAACCTGTTCGAAACAGATACATTTAAATGCAGACAATATTCATATTAGATATGCAGGGATACAGACTTTTGACTTCTCTGGATGTGGACTACCTCATCCAAATGAGGAGAGAAGGGAAATTTCAAAATAACACAAATATTTTATCTCTTTTGTTATACATGCAATATATATTTCTACATATACACCCTAGGCAAATACTGTTTTTGTCAAATCACTCAAAATTTTTTAAAATTTGTAAAAAATTAACATATTTTTTTAAAAATACCTTGAATTCTAGATGTGGAATTCAACATCCACAAGAGCTCTGGATATGGAAAGCTCCATACCCTCCATAAGGAAGTCTCTGTCTATGTAAATATGTATTGTCTATACTATAAAAAATATATTACGTACTCTGTAGTAATATCAATTGGAAATCCGGTAGAAATTGGCGTCAAGTCTGAGTTCAAATCATAATTTTGTAAGAAGCGTTGATCCGTCTTTCTTTCCAGATTCCTCTGAGTCCATGAGCCCTGTATGGATAATCTACCATTTGGAGTACCCAGAATCTGTGCACTGCTCAAGGATGGATATGCAGCTAATAATTTGTACAGATTTGTCAATTCCTTTATCTGCAAAAATATGCGCATCATTTCGCACAATTGTTCGATGAAAAAAAATTATTGCAAAAAAATATCGATAACATACGAAATTATTACATACCTGTCCCAATGCCATGACTTTTTTTCCAGTCACTTCCTTGTTTACTTTTTTTATTATGTATGAATGTAAACACAGTACGAACTACGAAACGCTAGATACAAGTCAATAATTCCAAATTCTATATTTATACTTGTGCTCCGATAAGCGCTGATAACATTTAGATAAACACAAGACGCACGATAATGTATTTACCGTTTTAATTTTTCGTAATTTATAGATGCTTTGCAAAAAAATCAAGAATAATACAATTGTATTACAATGTATGTTAAATACTGATTATAAAAAGCGATGAAGTACTGAATCACTACTGAATATGTACATTTATTGTCTATAGCATTTCATCCAAAATGAGGTTATAGGCAGTGATGGTATACAGCCGCTTTTCTAGCGCATGCGCGTCAATGGAGCTATCACGTCTAAGGTGCGTTCAGGGAGACGCTATTAGCGCTATTGTGTCGTTCTATCCTTGTTTTACGTCTAATAAACAACGAAGATAGAATGACAGAGTAGCGCTATTAGGGTCTCCCCGAATGCATCACTAGAGACCCTTTAAGGACGTTCTCTCCGAAAAATCCATTTTCTTTAGATTTTTCTGAAACTTACAAAAAAAGCTTGTTTTAGTGTCCTGAACATGTACTTTAAAACTCAATACCCGGAACGGGATTAAAAATCGAGATATTCCACTTCAAAGTTGAAGCGTTTAACATAGGCTTCCTATCTAGAGCTTATTCGAAAATGGTCTTTTATTCACTGTAAAAAAATTTTTTTTAACAATTTTTTGAAACGATGAGACATAAAACTTGATATCACAAGAAATAATATGAAATTTATTTGAATATGGCTTTCGGTATTCGTTTTTAAGAAATCATTGAGCAAAGTTTACAATGTCTATATAACGTTACTAATTCAAGGCACGAGCACATTTTTGCAATTTCGCTCAGATAGGGGTCTGCTAATTGTCTATATTGTATTTCTTGTTCCAATGGAACGGTATCGACGGAAGCTATGCTGATACGACCAGATACGACTTAAAGCGTCTACATGGGGCATTTTCTGTCCATGTCTGTGTTCTACCTCGAAGGTATAAAAACGCGAAGTGAAGGCCATCACACGTAATAAAATTTTAGTTGTAATCGTAAGGCCGTAAGCAAATCAGCCAATCACAGTCGAGCGTTTCGAAACGTCAGATCGTAATTTTGATTGTGATTGGTTGATTTGCTTGCGATCTTATGATTACCTTACGACTAAAATTTTTGTACGTGTGATGGCATCGCACGAAATGACGCAGTGGATCATTTTTGCACTTCTGCGCATAAGGGCGAAGCGAAAGAGCGGAGTGGTACTCAACTAATATTTTCTGTGTATGGGGGCGACTGCGTGGACGCGAATAAACTTTAGGTTGAGCACAACTGCAGTCGGAGAACGTCCTTAATCAGAGACTGGCCATAAGGATTTCGTCAAATTTCTTCAAGCGAGAAAGGAGTATAGACTATCTTACTCTTCCACCAATAGCGGTGTGTATGCATGATGTATGCTCCTTTTCTTTATTGTTTATATAAACGTAATATATTTTGAGAATATTCTTTAAATGTCACGAGGATCTCAGGATATTATGTTTACAGCAATATTTTTCTCAGTACATCCTCAATATTTGGGGGGATTATTAATATTTTCAGATTTGATTGCGTTGAAAGTCCGACAACCATATCGGCACGCAATTATCATTTCTGAAATTAATTCATTTAAATGAATTTACAATAGTTCAACTTCTTAACGTTCTGACCGTTATGACGCTTCTTAATTTAATATTATTATTTTAAAATAGTCTTAGAATAAAAATTATCATTAACGATATTCTGAGGATATACTGCGAACAATGTTGCTGCGGACATAGGAATCCTAAGTATATTCTGAACATATCGTAGTGTAAATGTAGAATCATACGAATATCAGACGCGACCCTTTTATTATATTCTCAGCATATTCTCAGAATGTAATGTGCTATCTGGGATATTATTAGTGAGTTCTGCACGTCGGTCCTATGAGATTTATATGTATATGTTTATGTGCACATGCATATATACATATGTACCCAGATAATATGTGTTGCTACCAGTGTTGGAATGTATCTAGGTAAAAGTATCTAGATACAGTATCTAGATATTTTAGCTGTACGATCCTTATAGGCGAAGATACCTATATCCGTATCTAGTTACTTTTTGATACGGTATCTTTTAAGTTTTAGATACATAGATACAAGGTATTTATACACAAATACTGTCGCCGCCATTAAGAGTGCCTTCCTACAAGCGACACAGTATAACACAGTGATCATCTCATCTTTGTTTAACATTGACGAACAACAAGGATGTAATGGTACACTATGCCTCATACCGTGTCATCTGTGTCACTTGTTGAAAAGCATATTAAATCAACTCAGAAATTAGCAATCTAGTACTAGTACCTATGCGCTGATATACTAATTAAAGACCGATATTCTTATGGTTAAAGCTGTTCATTAAAACTAAAAATTTATGTAATCAAGGGTAAGACATTGATAATGAGTAGAATTAATTTTATGATTTATCAGTTTTGTAGATATGCATATGCATGTAAAACTAAATAATACTCGATATTTATTTAAAATTATTAATGAAACCGATTTAATGTTATCGTCTGGGTTTTGTTAAAATAAACAAACAAAATGTGATATTTAATTTACGTTGCTTATTACTTCTACTTTTCCTATTTTCCCCCATTTTTTCTTCTTTTTTTGTTGAAAGTACCTAAAAAATATCTAAATTTTCAGATACTTTTTATTTACCATCTGGTATATCTGTATCTATACCTAAATTGTAAAAAAATGTGTCTATACTTATATCTAAATACTTTTCCCCACACAATACCTATATCTATATCTAGATACCATTCAAACGGTATCTGTTTCAACACTGGTTGCTACCAGAATTGCAATAACTGAGGCCGGTATTCATAGTCAGTTCTTATATTCAAGATCGTCTTAAATTCAACCTTGAGGTGTCATGAACCAATCAAAAGGCCGCATTAGCATTTAAGACGTTACTTAAGACGGTCTTGAAATAAGAACCGACTATGAATACCGGCCTGAGTCCTCATTTATTGGCAACTTGATGCCTTCACGATATGATAACATTGAGTAGCAACTTGCCAGCAATTTGCCGACAACTTTAAAATCATCATCATCAAAATTCGTACTGCCACGTATTGCCATCATGTTGCCATAATAATATGCAGCATTATACAATGCTGTATCATATTGCCGCAAGATAACATTGATGTAGCTATCTTGCTGGCAATACGTATACACATTGTTGTCTGCATGTTGCTACAATATTCGAAATCGTTGAAGACAAGTTGTCTTCAACGATTTCGAATCTACGGCAAGTTGTCAGCATCATAAGCAATCACAAATTTGCGAGATCCCAAGTAGAACACAGAAGTCATGAGGACATCATCATGACTTCATTCGTCACTTATAAGTCAATTTTTTCAAATGACATCATGATGACGTTCTGTGATACCATTATGACGTGTTCTACCTGGGACATAGAAAACATTTGAAGAAATAAAATTCACATATACAAAATATACAGAATGATCCACTTAAATCGACCATCTGAAATATCTCACTTATTTTTGATAACATAAAAAAATGTTGCAAATGAAAGTGGAACGGTTTCGAGAGAGACGTATTTTGGTTATGTTGTTTTTTTTCTAGGTGGAGACGGCCGGGATGGCCGCTCTCAGGTTTCTTTCTGATTCTACTAACATTGTTTTTTAGCAATTCGTTTTAGCAATGCCTTTTACTTTGAATTGCAAGAAACAGATACTTTGTCATTCCGTACATATTCTTGTAAAGTTATTCTGACATTTAGATACATTATAATCTACTGATACATATTATTAAAATAAATATTAAAGAATGAATGCGTTAAACATAATTTTACAATTTGGACGCTAAAACTTAATGATTTCAACATTCCCAAACAATAAAGTTATATTCAAAATGCGTTTAAATTATGAAAATATTAAAAATCATTTAACAAACCGTATAAACTGATAATAAATGTTCGCTAAAATCTTTTGGACAATTTCATTATTACGGGGAAATTGAGGACATCTACTACGAACGCTCGTTGTTTTTCAGCGAAACTTGTCTTAAGATAAATACATTAAGAGAATTACAATAAATAAAAATATAAATGTTTCGGCCTCAGATTAGGCCATCCTCAGTATATAAAGTCAAAAATATAAAATTCACAAACATCTCTCTCTTTCTCTCTCTCTCTCTCTCTCTCTCTCTCTCTCTCTCTCTCTCTCTCTCTCTCAATCTAAGTTATTTCTTTTAACATGGCTACAATTTACATACGCACGCTCGTTAAATTTGTTTTATAAGCTTTCTTTAGTTTTTCGCATATTTGGAATGTGTCCGGCGAATTTCATCTTGTATTCCAATTTATTTCTGATCGCTTATATGAGGTTGTGATTGAAACACGGAATTTCCAGATTCTAGTGATCATAATGTATCATGATTAATACAATTTCGCTAGTTATTATATATAAAAATTAATATCTGTGTTTTCCAATAAATTTGAGAAGATTGGTATCGTATGTGAACGCCATGTTTTACTAGCATAATTGTTAACGATGTACTGCCAAATTCTCATCATGACAGATTGCTTTAAATACCCAACGCGACTCAAAGGAGAGGGTAAAATGATATTAAGAAGGGGGCGTAATGCTAAGTAACGGAAAATAAGTCTCTGGTAATTTTCCTGTGTCGCTTTGCTTATTTAAACCATTGATTTGTTTCTTGATGAAGATCATTTCCGACGTGATTCTTTTTTAGAAAAACGGTTCGATATCTAATACTTGGATGTCATCCCATTTTATTTTGTGATCAAAATCAATCTGGTGTTGTGATAATACTGTGAGAGCATCTTTAGATTTTTTAATATTAGATCTATGTTCTTTAATTCTCGTTTTAGCTTTTCTTTTTGTTTGCCCAACATAAGAAGAGTTACAATCAAGACAGTTTATTTTATAGACCACATCACATTGTTCCATTTTATCAAGTTTATCTTTACCTAATTTTATAAATCTATTCAAGGTATTCGTAGGTTTGTATGATACTTTAAAATTATTAGTTGAAGCTATAGTATTGAATTTATCAG